GAGAGAGAGAGAGAGAGAGAGAGAGAGAGAGAGAGAGAGAGAGAGAGCCATTGAGCCTGGTGGAAGACTAGGGTGGGGGACCGGTAGGGCGGAATGGGAAGGAGAGAAGTCGGCCCAATGGTTACTGCCGCTGTGCGCTGAGGCGCGCCCTCCACTGGGCCCCTCGCCTCTTTGTGCCTTTGGTTCGAAACTTTGGAGGTGGCCCAAGTGATTTCCCCTAAAGGACTGGGAATCTCGATTTGTTAAGCGCTTCAGAGCACCCACCCAACATGTTGCAGGGCTATCCTGTGAGCCGAAGCAAAACCAGGGTAACAGGATCGCCCAGTTGTTTCATCGGTCTAGGTCTGGCCGCCCAGACCCCGCCACTGCGTGGGGACCGAGGTGCTTAACAAAGGACTCTGCGGGGGCTCCGGGAGCGGCCACGTGACGGGCCTGAGCTCCGCGCTGCTGTCCCGCAACCGGGAGGGGCGGGCAGCCCTGGTTGCCTGGTGGTTTCTTGACATAAAAAGAACTGCGGGGGCCTCAGCGGGCCGAGAGAGCGCTGGGTCGGTCTGAGAAGTACTTGTCTGGCTTGGCTAAGGAGAAGCTGCACCTCTCATCTCTACAGTACTTGGAAGAAAATTGTGTGTGCGCGCGGGGAGCGCCGCGGGGTGGGCCAGGGCCGGGCTGCGAGGCCGAGCAGAGCTGGCTGGTGGGCGGATGCGGAGAAGTTGAAGAAACGGCTCTTTCTGAGTGACAGGACCCTTTTTCAAAGGGCAAATGGGAAGGGGGGGGTGTCCTAATATGAATAGATTTTTCAGTGTTTCCCAGTTCTTCCCTTTGTACAGATTTTATTTTCCTTTCTCCTTTTCCTTTCTTTTTTATTTCATGTTAGTCTAGAAGCGTCTGGACAAACACGTCTTGATGTGTTTTCAGTAGCGTGAGGCATTCACTTAAGATATCTATATATATCTGGGTTGGAATAAATTTACTGCAGCCAACATGTTAGCACGTTTTTGTGTCCTAACTGACTGGAGCAGCCGCAGAGGAGACAGGAACTCACCCAAAAGGTCGTTAAAGATGCTATAGCTGGGGAGAAAGGAAAGGGGACATCTGAAAAGTTTTCCTTCATCCCAACAGCAAGTCTGGGTCTTTGCTTTCTACCAGAGAAGACCCCTGTCCTCGTTTTCTCACCGAAAGCCTGTAAATTGGTGTTAGATGTCTCTGTGAGAAATCATGACGGGCAAGAAAAACCTTATCTCGCAGGACGATTTATTCAAAGCCCGCTTTCATCACATTTGGAAGTACTATTATTTTGTCCATTCCCAACCTTAGCTACCCCCTCTCCAAACTGAAAGACCATGCTTTAGAGAGGAGAACAGAGCAGATTTAAACTCATCTTGGTTTGTTGTTATCATGAATATGATGGTTATTATGTCACCTCCTGCCTTTCGATCTGATGGGAGAACTTTTTAAAGACTATGAAGTGAAGAACACAAAGACAGTTTATCAGTGAAAAGAAGACTGTGGCCTTTCTTTTTTTTTTATTGGGAATTAAGGAAAACTCAAATTTAGATGAAGTATACCACCAGACCTGCTTCAAAGTCTACCTAATTCCCTTGGGCTCAGTCATCACCCACTTGTGATAGCTGGCAGCTCTTCGTGGAGGTAAGGCACCCATGGGTGGCGAGTCACTCAGCGGCAACTCGCTGCTCTATAATTCCAGACACATTTAAACTAACAACCTGCTATATCACAGGACTCAGATTTAGCAACACCCCTCACACATGAAACAGTGACCTGTTCATTAAAGTAATCCCTTCCCTTCCTTGGTTACTTTGCTCACTGAGAGACCCTGGTCTCCTTTCTACTTTACCTAGTAAGTTGGTATATACTGGGCCATACTCTTAGGGTTTTTTTTTTAACTATTATTTTGTAATCAACTCTGCTTAGTTTTCTATTTATTTTTGGATCTCAGCCTTTTTGGATCACACAAATGTCCCCACAAGTAATGCAGCAATAAATCTGAACAAAAATAAGACAGATTTCCTCATCG